CAAATGAATTTAAAAAAATCTGTTTTACAGATTTGGTGCTTTTAGTCTAAATTACAATTCTGTTAAAATAGATTTTTATTTTTATTATAAATTTAAAATATAATTAGAGCCTAAAGTTATTATATAATCAAAAATTTGGCATTTAATATATAAAAAATTGTTTTTATAGATTTTTAACCAATCAAAATCTTGTTATATAAAATAGCCAATTAGATTTGAGTATAAATTTCAAAATTTGACATTTTGAAAAAAATTAGATGTTTCTTGCTGTCCAGTAATTTACTATTAGTTTTTTTTTAATAACTTAGCTATATTTAATAATTTAGTAATTACATATAGTTTTATAATTACAATATATATAGAAATTTACCTTCTGAATACAAATTATTAACTCTTCTCAACGATAACTTGTACAAATTTTCTCTTAAAATAATTACTCTATTCTTTAAATTTTACTAAGTAAATCTATTTTGGCCATCAAAATAAAATAGTTTTACAGTAAATTTTATTTATAAATAGCCCTGCTCTAAATTTCTAAAGCTTTTTTTTACAAAATTATAATACTTTTTTATATTTTACTTCAATTGGTCAAAACTCAAAATTCTATAAAGTTAATATTTAATACTCTTTAATACAAAAAGATTTAGCTTATCAACAGCTTCATTTTTATATATAATATATAAAAAATAAACTAAAATTAACAAAATTACAATTAAAATACTTTAAACTCTGTTACAAAAACTTTATCTAGATTCTACAAAATTTTTTTTTATTTTTTGAAAATTTCTGTCTCCCTAGAACATCCAAGATCTGCAAATTTATATTATTAATTAATATTACTAATTAATTTACATAACTCCAATATTTGTTTTATCTATTTTTATACAAAATTTAACTTTACTATTTTAATTTTAGTAAATTTACACAAATTTCATTCTATTGATATACCAGTTATACTATTATGCTTGGTTATACCAAGCCACATTAGCTATACCAAGTCACACTTTCTACAAATATTTTAATCTTTGGTTATACAAGATTATACAAAATTACATGTAAAGCTACACTAGCTGCTTCTTAAATAATTCTTGTTATTTACATACTTTTGATCTCTAATTTATAAATTCTATATTTCAAAAAGAACTTAGAAATTTTAATTGTTATTTTAACTTTTTACTATTATTTTAACTCTTATAAAAACTTAGAATAATTTTATAACAAATACAAAACTTACAAAAATCAACTATTAAATTTACTTATAACCTTTCTTAAAAAATATCTCAATGTAAATTTTCTCACAATTTATTTAAATACAACCCAACTAGCTCATTAACAATACTCTTAACTAGTTTCAAGTATTTCTAATTAACATTGAAGCAGAAAAACAAACTCAATTTTTAACACCACTTGGTATTTAAATTCTTGACTTTATTAAACTATTCTTTTTAAATTTTTATTCTGGTCGAATTATTCAACCTGAAGCTCCCAACCAACAAGCTACTAAAAACAACTTTGATAATTTATTACAATATATAGCTTCTCAAGAACCACAATTTCTTACTGATTTTATTCATCAAAATATAACTAATGACAACAATACCAATATCTCACCTAACTATCTTCTATTTATTTTAAGAGATACTCTATCCAACTTTACTACTGTTCTTTTTACAAAACTAAATTATAAAAAAATATTCTATTCAAATTATTTCTTACTACTTTATTCTATCCCTAAATATTCTTTAATTGCAATTAATCTTGCTCACCTACATCTTTTTTTTTCTAAATCAATACAAAACTATTAATTATATTAAATTCTTTAAAGATTTAGATCTTAAACCCATTCACATATTACTTTATTTTAATATAATATTTAATAATTCTGATCAATTACTTTTTAAAATCAAAAATGATACCAAATATAATATTTATATTAGAGTATTGCTAAACATCACTGCAGATGATTATCACTGCTCATATGTTCGACCAATCAAATCGTAGAATCTTGTATAACCAAAACAATAGTGAAACTAAGAAAAAAGCCAAAAAATATCAATAACAAGTTATTTTACTATGGCAATGAACCTTTGTATACTAATTAAAAGTTTTTGGCACAAAATTTTATATATAATTTCATCTTCCTTATTCTAACCTGCCTAACTCTAACTCTAAATTTTGGTTCCTTATATAAATATGTAATAGAGTGATAATGATCACCTGCAGTGATTTTTAGCAAAATTCTTTATATTATATTTGATATTTCTTCACAAAATTTTTTAAAAACTTTTATATTCCTTCTTTTAAAACTTACTGCACAATATTTGACAAATGGTTCTTAAAATTTTTTAACTCATACAAACAACAATTTTCACATATTAATCAACAAAAATTTTATAACTTTATTAAATATCAAATTATTACTCATCTCTCTAATGAACTTAAAAAACTACTTCTAAACTTCTATTAATTTTCTACTATTAATCTATTACAAAAAAGAACAAAAGCTTCAATTAAAGCATCACTATATCATATTTATACTTGTACAAGTAATACATATAATATTTTTTCTAATAATACTCCTCATATCTTTAAAAATCTAATCTTATCTATTTTCATAACTTATTCAAAACCTATATCTATCATTGTTTAAATTTTGCTATTTTTCAACTAAACTAACCTCTTACTGCTACTTTTTCAATTTTTTTTTCTATTTGAGTCTCTTAAAGAATTAGCTAATTCAGCAGAACAACAATTTATACAACTCAATAATACTTCTACAAATTTTAAATGTGAATCTTTTTTCTACTATACTTATCTAAAATACTATTTAATAGTTGCTGCTAAAAAAAATAATATTAACTTTAGCCTTAAAAATGCTCTTCAAAGCAGCTTTATTAAAACAACTGGCCCATATACTTTCACTAAAATTATATCCTATTTTGATATTATACAATTTTCTAATTCACTAATCTCCCAAATTAAATATAAATATCACCAATCTTATTTTCTACAAGCATTACAATATATTTTTAAAAAACTTTAAACTTCCAAAGTTTCTATTGATCTTTTTTCCTCAATAGAAAGTGCCAAATGCTCAAGCTATTAAAGCTGCTCTTTTTTATTTAACCAATAAAAATCTTTCTTCTACTATACCTATTTAAATACTTTTTTGAAAAATACTAAATATCATAACTATTAAATTCTATTTTTGTTTAATATATACAAATTCATTTTCTATTATATCTATTTAAATAATGTTTTTTTTGTAACTATATACATAATATATTAAAATTTTGAACAACTCATCTCTTATTACTACTATTAATTACAATTCTATATTATCTACTATATATTATTTAACTTTACTTATATACAAAATTATAACCCCAATATTTATCTTTATAATATTTATTCTATAATTATACAACTACTATAATTAACTCCAATATACTATTATTCAACCCTTTTACTATAACTTTATTTTAAATACTTATCTATTCATGTTAATATATCTTTTATACAACTAGCTTTTTTATATACTTATATTATTGTCATGTAGTCACCCAAACTACTATATATTTGTTAAACTTTACTATCAGTCTTTAACTTGCTTAGCTAATATACGATGACTAGAGTATCATGCCAGATACTACTACCAATAACAATATGCTCACTAAGATAACAGTTTATTTACTAAAAACAACTCCAAAAAATAACAATAACAAAAGCTAAGCATTTCCCTATTTGAATTAATGCTTTATATTTATTATTAATCACTAATGATTACAATATTATTTATGCAATCACTATTTTAAACTTTTTAATTACATCATGATTACTCGATATATTAATTAGATCATAGTATTTAATTAACATGTACTCAATTACTAGTCACATAGGTACTGCATAGTACAACAATTCACCTTCATCCTACCAAGTTTTTTCATTTCAAAATGACTACCGAATACTGTATTAACCAACTTCTCTGAACTATATTCAACAATCTGATCTAAGTATAACTGTTTATAAAAATTGATTTCCTTTACATCATGCTCTTTACTATATTGACACTTCAGTATCTGATCTTTTACTTCACAATATGCAATATCTCATTTACTTCGATTAACACTTTTTCAGAATTCTTATTACAATCAAGCTTCTGCATACTTAACATTTCATATTTTATACTTTTATGTTGATTCTAAATATCTATATCTCGTGAAGTACTTTCAATTAAACTTCTAAACTTCTAATGCACATTATTGACACTTTGATAACTCAAATCACATAACCTTATTGATTCGCTCATATGACCTATATTGTTTATCATTTGTATAGTACTTGGCTGACTTATATACACTTCTCTTGATACTATGCATCTCTTATTCTTGTCATCATACTCATGGTTATATGCTTTATTACTATAACTCATTTTCCCAAAGCTTTAGCAATAAACAAATGCCTTTTGCTCATCTTTTTCATTCTTAATTTTAGTTTCATAGTAATTTCTAGATTCATTCGCTCTATCATCTGAGCTAGATCCTCTGAATTTATTTTTGTACACCTTAATCACATCATTCTCATTGTTCGCATTATTAATACCATATTCGGTTTTCATTAATGTTTCTAGTAGGCTCCTTATCATCACATCTATTTTCATAACTTTGTCTAATGGTGCTTCAATTACTACTACCAGTTCATTTTGATAATGATGTTTAGCCGTAATCATTTCATTAGTATTGCCTCTATTGGTAGATTTTTGATAATGAATAAACATTTTATGTTCATTTTTTCATTATTAATACCAATATACTTTTCGCTAGAATTTCCTACCTTATCAGGGTTTTGATTATAATCAAATATTTTTTGTTCGTCTCCTTTAACCCTTACTCTATTTTCATCAATAGCTTTTACAACTTCGGTTTTGTTTTGAAGACAATATCCAAGATTATAGGTTCCACTAATATGATCTATCTTATTAGATCTTTGATAATAAACGAATCTCTTATGATTATTTTTTTTAATTTCAACTTTATGATGACAGCAATGTTCAATTTTAGATACTTTATTAGCATCATCTATATTAGTAGATTTTTAATAATATTCGAAAGCTTTATTTTTATTCTTTTTGGCACTAGTCCTATTTTTATAGTAATATCTAACAATAAACGCTTTGTTAATATTATATATTCTTTTCACATGATTCATCTTAGCTGATTTTTGATAATAATTGAATGCCTTATTCTTATTGCTTTTACTTCTCATGATTTTGATTTCATTTTCATAGCAATATCTGATATTATATATTCCATTAATACGATCTTCATCACTATTATCGATTTCAAATTTTTCACTAATTTTTTATCATCATCATTTCTATAGGATATGTCAGGTATGCTTTCAACTTTTGTTTTACTCATTTGATTTATTTGTTAAAGTTCAACATTATATTAATAGTCCCCTTTTTTTTCGCTCTATCATCAACATTATTATCCTTAATCAAATCATCTTTGACACACCTAATATCTACAAATTTATTTTCTCATCAATCATTACTCTTCATTATACTATCTTTTTCTATAATGTTTTTATCAATAATTAGTTCTTCTGAAATCATAAACGTTGTTTTACTATAATCAGATCGAATTGTACTACAACATTTCTCATTTATCTATCCAAAACTACACCTTGTTTTCGCAACTCACAGTATTCCAAAAATGATATCACAACACAATCTATACTTTACATAGAACTTTTGAACTACTTTAATACCATCAATATCAACTTCAAGTCTGGGAACAAATCTAATGAACTTAGCATTATCAATATAACTACTGGGTTCAATATTCATACATTTCTAGGCAAGCCTTTTATTTTTCACATACTTCATGCTTATTTTATTCACATTTGAACTGAGTCTAATCAATGCTTTTGCAAATTCTCCATTCATTTTTACATTTTTTACCGCTTTATTATTATTATTGTCAACTTTCTCTTTTATTTGATTTGAAACTTTCATACTATGTTTTTGATATTTAATATTCTTCTTTTCATCAACATGTACACAATGAACTTCTATCTACTTAGTATTCAAATATCATTTACAGACTTGATCTTCTATAGATAAACACAAACGAGCCAAGTGTCCTTTACTTCGATACAAGTAACACAAATGCAACCTATGCTTTCGTTGTTTCTTTTAAAATATTTTCAGATTCTGTACAACCTCTTTGACCACAGTTTCTATAATATTCTTTACCAATGTTACTAAATAATTTTTCACATTCCATTCTTTTCAAACTCTAATTTTGTTAAACTTGCTACTAAGGCTCCAATTACGATTAGTATAACCTTCTTGGTCTTGCACTTAGCAAATATAATGAACTTCAACAAGTTTTGTGAATAGAACCTTTGTTTGCCAGGTCCTTTCTGTTATGTAGTTACCCAAACTACTGTGTATTCATTAAACTTTACTATTAGTCTTTAACTCGCTTGTCTAATATATGATGACTGGAGTATCATACCAGATACTACCA